CACCTGGTGAGCCCACGAAAGGCACTGCAATGACAACAGCATGCTCTCGCACATACAGGCAACAAGATTGTGTTGGAAAAATAACCCCAAGTATTCCACTGGCAGTGACAATGATCAAATTGACCACTGGCCAATGACCTTGATGACCACTGACGGATGCCCAGACCCAATGGCCAATGGATTCATAAGGGATTTCTTTTTTTTTTTTTTTGCTCTGCTTTTTCTGTTCTCATACTGGAATCCCAACGTTTTGTCATTTACTATCTAACGTCACTCTCTGCACCAGGTATTAAAAAAAGAAAAGGTTTCAAAATGATTAATTAGTCAATATTAGACAATAATTAATGACATACACTGTGCATGTTTGAACCTATGTTATATGGAACAAGGCTCAAAATATCCCATCATGTCTTACAACCTAAAGAGTCTTGGTTACAATAAATGGTAAATATACATGATTAAAGATAAATTATTCAACAAAACAAGAGAAGAAGACAAACCGAAACATATACGAGTCTATTATTGAGTGGAAACAAGATTCTTGGTCTTAACAAGATACTCGGGATACAGTTCTAAACACTTTTAACATGGTCAGATTATCTTCTCACCCAGGGACAGCTCTTCAGCGGAGACTAATGCAAAGGTTTGGCACAGAGGACCACGAAGAGTCAATTATTGTGGGAAAGAAGTTATCTCATTCAGAAGGGAATAGTCAAATAACTCGGCTGAAACCGAATGCCCCAGGCATAGTGGAGGAAGTGAAAAAATCATCACGGTTGCATGACTAAAGTGAATTACTTACTTGTCACAGTAGACATAACTGTCACCCTATCTGTGTAACACTGTAATTCTTTACACTGCAAATGGGGAGTTACAGATTTATTTAAAGAAATCTGACATCTGCATGCCAACTTAATGCTTCACTTTTCAAACCCATGTTAGGGCAATCATATAACTTATATACACCTTCAGCAGAGACTAAATTGGGGCTCATATGAAATCGCTTTATAAAGGGTGAAATTTCAGGGCTGATCATTACTGGAGAAAGGACTTCATTTTATCTTGATATTTTCAACAATAAAAAGAGGCTTTATTAAAAATCAAATCATCTGGATTCATCAACTTAAAAAAAAATAAATAAAAAGTTANTAACTTATATATACCTTCAGCAGAGACTAAATTGAGGCTCATATGAAATCTCTTTATAAAGGCTGAAATTTCAGGGCTGATCATTACTGGAGAAAGGACTTCATTTTATCTTGACATTTTGAACAATAAAAAGAGGCTTTATTAAAAATCAAATCATCTGGATTCACAACCATAACACATATTTGAAACACTACAATAACAATTAAACAACTTGATACTGGACAGATAGTAAGATTTCATTAGTCAGGTATATACCCAATCAACACATTTAAGAATTCAATTACAGAAAGAACACAACCTCTGGTGCTTTGCCAATTATCTGACCAATGATTACAGTTATATCAAAGCTGCCAATTATCTGACCAATGACTTCAATTGTGTAATAGTCCTCAAGGGAGTTTATCAATTACCTGACCAATGGCTGATGTTATGTCATAAAGCCTAAGGTACTTTCTCAATTAACTGTCCAATGACGGCAGTTATTGAAAACTGGTAACATAAATGGCTGCCGCCTTCCTCCATTATATAACGCTATCATTTAACCACAACAGACTCCTATAATTAAAGGGAGGGTACGGGTGCATGGCATTTCAATCAATTTTCCTCACAATAAATTTCTTTCTTAAATCATAATGAATGAATCCGCTGCAAAATGCTGCAAAATGATCGCTACTACTAGAATTAGACTTAGATATATATATATATATATCATATATCAAAACAGAAACCTATAAAATGAAGAATGTCACAGATGTCTCTAAACAGAAAACAACATTCATCAGATGACACTGTTTTATGGAGGAAATAATAGAGACCTCACACAGAGAAAAGTCATTTGTAGGGCTAGGAAAGAATTGCTTTTACCATTAAATTTTTTTAAACAAATTGGGAGGAGTCAGTGGGATGGGTAATGGTGACTGCAGTATTGGAGTGGGTGTCTCATCAAATAATATCTCACTGAACCTCTGTGAATGAAATAATACTTTTGCCCATTAAAAAAGGTCTTTAAAACAATATTTCTAAATATCTCAGAAATCTGACTAACATTGAGAAAATATGGTGAAATCAAAATTATGAATATGTCATGCCTATGTGGATTTTAAACCCAATTCTGTCTTTTTAATCAGATGTAGTTGTTTTCACCCATGGGCTGTTAGTAATCTTATTTTGCAGGAAGCACTTAAGATGATATGAATGAACATGTTCTTGTTTTCTTGTGGTTTTCACTTTCAATTAAAATCAATGGTCATATTAGAATCTGGAACTGATATTTAAAAAAAAATGAACTGGGCAGAACATTCTAATTTTTAAAAAGATATTGCTGCCAACAAAACAAAGTGTAACAGTTTTCTGTTATTGATGTATTCATAATAAATTACTAGATGAGTTTGAAATAAAATTTCAATATGTGTAATAATTACGACAATACTGAAGCCATATCTCTCCATAAGGCATCTCGTACAAGGTACGACACACTATTTTGTTTTCCTTTTGAATTATCAGTAATCAATCTGGCCGGTAGATTAATAGGATGCAGTTCACTTTTAAGAAATTATCCCACAAAGGCTTAAAAACACAGGCTCTTTGAATTAATTTCACATGCCATGTTGGCTGTAACCTGACCCTCCAACCTCAGCCCTGGTGAAGTTAATGAAGTCGCAGGGTCTACTCAAATCAATTAAAACCCATGTTACTCGCTGGGACTACTTCATGGTATGGCCTAGTTTTTAACTTGCTGCAACTGGGAGAGAGTTTTCACTTCATTTTCAACAGCTGTTTTGGGGTTAGGGATACATTTCCAACCAGGTTCTTTTAAAACCAAGTTCGAGTCTGTGATACATATTGCTATGCTGTTGTTAATCAAACAGCAAGTGCATTTCTATTTTTAACCCACCAACCCAACCTTAACAAGGTCCATTTTACATTTACTTTAACAAAGACTAGGCATCATAGCATGCAAAAGTTTCTCTATCTCCTCTCATTAAACTGTTTCCTGAGATGACAATTCACACAAGTTTTTAAATTTCCTATTCCTTTTGGGAAACTCTTGTTCATTTACTTTAAGTTGAAGGAGAAGTTAATTTGAGTTAAAGATGGCCACTTCATCATGCCAGTCAAACACTTTTTTACCAGATTTGATACTAAAATTGTCTCAAAAACTGTTTACTCAACTGAATCAAGCTGTCCAACTTATTAGCAGTACTGCAGAAATACAGACAGGTCTTTTATAATCAAGGACAGCTTTACACATATCCTTACAATTTTTTTAAGGGCAATGGTCATTCTGAGAAAAAAACAATTGAAAATGTGTTTGGCATTTTCTTTAGCTATTAATTACCAGCCAAAATTGTGAAGCACATTTCTAGAAAGGCTTCGCTGCTATTTGTGAACCTATGTGTAATCTGCGCGTAGTGTTTGATAACATTGCACCGTTATCAGACAAGTTAAGTCGATGCCCTTTTAAGTTCTGGCTTTCAAACAGTAATCATTTTGATAACTCCACCTTAATAAAACATGGCCTGTTCAGTTGCCTGACTTCCCTAAGTTGTAAATAATTTTATTCCTAAACAATGATTATTTCAAACTTAAAGCCATCTTAAAATGTAAACAACGAGAAGTCTGGCGATAACAATTTTATCACACGTGAAATGCTATCAAAGGCAAAATTGTTGACTTCCTAATCATGTATTATTGCAGATTTACAACCCAGTCTGGTTTTAAGATGCAATTTACAGCTTTTTTATCATAACACCCTTTATGGCTTGGCTGTGGCTGCCTCTAATGTAGTCTTTCTCTTGTCTTTCCCCTTCCAAAAGACCCAGGAAAAGTGTGCCAAAAAACATGAAATGCACTAAAAAAAAACTGAAATGTGTGCAAAGGCACGTGAAGACCTAAACATGCATCAATACACCTGTTTAAGCTCTTCGTTACTTACTTGCTGGCATGTGCGATGGCATGCGTAGTTTGATGAGGCATGTTCACAGCACAGGGAAGCTGAAAAAGATAAGGCAGAGTCATTTATTACACCGTGGCTTCTAATTCAGGTGATGGGGTTGGAGACATAAATAGCAAAAATGTATGTTTAATATCATTATGCATTCCCAGGTTCATAATCTATAACAATATTTTGCAAAATGCAGAAATTAACATTCAACCCAATTATGTAGACCATATTTTGTGAGGGGAGGGGGAGGGGATTCTAAGACTGGGTTCCCATACCTAGATCAATCTATCAGGATCGATCCATCTCCGAGAGGTTTCTCGCTAAATTGCTTTCAGCAGACATCAACACTGCTTAAGTTGATTGCAATTTTAGCCAGAATCCCCTTGAAGATAGATCGATCCACAGTTAGTACGATAGGGTCTGGAAATGGTCCCTAAGAATGCCTTTACTTTGGATTAGTTCCACAGGTGGGTGACAGGAGAGCAATCAAACCTCACTATCTGCTGTTAATTATCTCTGATGATGAAGAAGAACTGCAACAGGCAGAGCTGACAGATTACAGCAGTGTTCACACTGGATCTAAATCAAAACTGTCTTGGGGAGGGGGGTCAGTCCCCTCATCTGTTGCCTTCTTTTGGGTATCAGAGAAATTTGTCTTAAATACACAACGAACTTTCTTCACTGAGGTGTTACAATTAGTNTTACAGCTTTTTTATCATAACACCCTTCATGGCTTGGCTGTGGCTGCCTCTAATGTAGTCTTTCTCTTGCCTTTCCCCTTCCAAAAGACCCAGGAAAAGTGTGCCAAAAAACATGAAATGCACTAAAAAAAAACTGAAATGTGTGCAAAGGCACGTGAAGACCTAAACATGCATCAATACACCTGTTTAAGCTCTTCGTTACTTACTTGCTGGCATGTGCGATGGCATGCGTAGTTTGATGAGGCATGTTCACAGCACAGGGAAGCTGAAAAAGATAAGGCAGAGTCATTTATTTCACCGTGGCTTCTAATTCAGGTGATGGGGTTGGAGACATAAATAGCAAAAATGTATGTTTAATATCTTTATGCATTCCCAGGTTCATAATCTATAACAATATTTTGCAAAATGCAGAAATTAACATTCAACCCAATTATGTAGACCATATTTTGTGACTAAAGTCAATTTTGTGAGGGGAGGTGGAGGGGAATTTTAAGACTGGGTTCCCATACCTAGATCAATCTATCAGGATCGATCCATCTCCGAGAGGTTTCTTGCTAAATTGCTTTCAGCAGACATCAACACCGCTTAAGTTGATTGCAATTTAGCCAGAATCCCCTTGAAGATAGATCGATCCACAGTTAGTACGATAGGGTCTGGAAATGGTCCCTAAGAATGCCTTTACTTTGGATTAGTTCCACAGGTGGGTGACAGGAGAGCAATCAAACCTCACTATCTGCTGTTAATTATCTCTGATGATGAAGAAGAACTGCAACAGGCAGAGCTGACAGATTACAGCCCTGTTCACACTGGATCTAAATCAAAACTGTCTTGGGGAGGGGGGGGGGGTCAGTCCCCCCATCTGTTGCCTTCTTTTGGGTATCAGAGAAATTTGTCTTAAATACACAGCATACTTTCTTCACTGAGGTGTTACAATATGGTGTTATACCACTGTGCTTTGAACACCTACATCCCTAGCAAATTTACTCAATCTGGAGAAGCATTTTGGGCCTGAATGTTATTCACCTTTGATTGCCTCTGAGCACACCTGACAAGAAACAGCAAAAGCAGGCAAAACTGACAGATTAAGAACAGTCTATTCTGGACAAGGAAAATATGTCTACTTATCACTGACTATAGAACACCTCAAGATAGAAATTCCAAGTGCATTCTAGGAATGATTACTGTGCGGAGATGTGGGGGAGGAAGGCTATTGCATCAGAACCTTTTTTTATTATAAAATGTATGGTAATGAAATATTGAAGTAGAATTTCTTGGCTTATGAATATCTCTTTACTTATTCACAAACTGAATCCTTATCTTCGGTGGAGGATGCTTTATTAAATCAAATTCATTTCAAATTTGGTAAGAAAATATACATCAGGCTCAAATCTGGCTAGACTAATTACTCAAGATCTTTTCCTTTCTTGGTGCATAACTTTTTACCGCCATGTCAACTCGTCATAATTATGTCCTTTATGGATGTTTAATCGATGGTCTGGAAGCAATTTTAACGAGTNATAGGAATATTTTGCGAGAAAATTTTTATTTCAGCCGATTTTCAGTAACTAAACAGATCTTACCTATAATATTATGGGCAGGTAATACCCTTAGAGTAATCTTTCATTTTCATGAGTTTGGGGTTAATCGGTGCATTTTCATGGCAGCAGCGGCCATTAGATGCCGAAACTGAAAACTCTCTCTAATTTGGTACCGTTAATGCTAGAGACCTCTTGTTTTATGCATTTCGTAGAACTTGTCAAGGGCAACACTCGGGGTGGTGTCTATTTTTTTGTTTTCAATACGGCTTAGGCATTGCACTATATAAAAAGTTTAACATCCTAAATTCAGTGGTGAAAATAAAATGTGAAATACTCAAAAATTAGCAGAGATATGCCCATAGTTACTTTTGAACTTGAATAGGAAGTCATATACTGGTAATCTAACTGTGACCTTGAAATTGACCTTTGACCTACTTTTCATGATGAACTGCACTTTGCAAGTTTTCTGATCTTTATATCTCCAAAACTGGCAAAGATACACCCATAGTTACTATTGAACTTGAATAGGAAGTCATGTACTGGCAATCTAACTGTGACCTTGAAATTGACCTTTCACCTACTTTTCACCATGAACTGAACTTTGAAAAATTTCTCTCCATTATATCTCGAAAACTGGCAGAGATAAGCCCATAGTTACTATTGAACCTAAATAGGAAGTCATATACTGGCAATCTAACTGTGACCTTGAAATTGACCTTTGACCTACTTTTTATGATGAACTGTACTTTGCATGTTTTCTGGCCTTTACATTTCCAAAACTGGCAAGGAAATGCCCATAGTTACTATTGAACTTGAATAGAAAGTCATATACTGTGACCTTGAAATTGACCTACTTTTTCATTTCAAAATAATTTCATAAGAAAAGGAAAAAGTCCATTATTCTCAAACTTAAATATATGAATGAAATATCATATAATATACATATACTACACATGGACCTATTTTTGGGCTCTTTTTTTTTTCTTTCTTTCTTTGTTTAAGACTGGGTTCCCATGCCAAGATTGATCCATCTGGATCGACCTAACTTCCTGGGGGTTCACGCTAAATGCTATCAGCTTAAGAGGCTCAAATGTCTGTCATACCTCCCGAATCAGCTAGGGGGGTAATTAACTTTCTTGCACGCTGGGCCTCGCCGATAGCGAACAGCAATTTAGTGAGACTCCCCGTGGAGATAGAACGATCCAAATACCTGTGGGAATGGTCCCTAATATGCCAAATTGGTGTTTTCAAAATACCACTCACCATTTTTAAGTCTGTCAGTGGTCATGATATTGTTAGATTTTTATTTAATTTCTGTATGCTTCTGTAAATTAAATAACAATGTTCAAATTGAAATGTATCGTAAAAAATGGATAATAATGCAGTTTTATTCAAAGTACAGTTGCATAGTTGTTTTATTGGCAGGGCTGACCTTGATCATACGAAGTATTTGTTTTTTAGAGAAAGAAGGAGGGGAGGGAGATCATTTTATCATCCATAGTGCCAACTTCTGTAGAACCGAAACGTTTTGCCAGTCTTATTTTAACCGTGTTGTTCCCATCTGAAACGCCCTTCCCATTTGCACACGTTCAGGGATTGGAAGATCAATGTTTAGACGATCTGTCAGAGAGCACTATGGTGCTCTTCTGACAGAGTGCTTTGACCCCGAGAATATTTGCGCTTGGGTGGGTTGTTGCAAATGTACACATTGTCGTTTTTAGATGTGCACTTCGTCGTTTTTAGTACTAAAATAGAGTTTTTTTTTTTTTTTTTTTATATCTTTGGGGGGTGTCCATTCATGGGTCATTGACCCTTAAGGCAAACCCTTTTGGGTACAATTTAATTTTTGCATTATTTTAAAGTAATGTCGTGCTATTATTTGTAAGTTGTTTTATAATGCTCTTTCAAAGTTCTTGTATATAATCTTGTACTCAATAAAGTCATTCAAATCAAATCAAAATAATCTGCAACAGGTTGGATCAGCTGAACACCAAGGGCGGAGCATCATGGGTATATCTTAAGGGCTGTTTCTAACATTTAAGGGTGTGTCCCTTTGGGTGTGTCTGCCAGAACTACCCACCACTTTTATTGAATGCCAGTAGTCTATACTCTATCCTGGAATTCTACTTAACATTTCCCAGCCATTTTGAAAGAGTTACATTAAGGGCACAGCTAGCTGTACATTAGGGGCGTGGCTCTTTGGGTGTGTCTGCCGGGCACTACCCACCACTTAAATTGTCTGTCGTTGGTCATTCTAGCTTCCTGGGACTCTAAGGAACATTTTCCAGTTAGTTTTTTAGGGTTAACTTTTGGGGCATGCTAGCTGCACTTTGAGGGTGTGGCTCTTTGGGTGTGTCTGCCGGGCACTACCCACCACTTAAACTGTCTGTCGTTGGTCATTCATCTTTCCTGGGACTCTAAGGAACATTTTCCAGTTATTTTTTTAGGGTTAACTTTTGGGGCATGCTAGCTGCACTTTGAGGGTGTGGCTCTTTGGGTGTGTCTGCCGGGCACTACCCACCACTTAAATTGTCTGTCGTTGGTCATTCATCTTTCCTGGGACTCTAAGGAACATTTTCCAGTTATTTTTGTAGGGTTAACTTTTGGGGCATACTAGCTGTACATTAGGGGTGTGGCTCTTTGGGTGTGTCTGCCGGGCACTACCCACCACTTAAATTGTCTGTCGTTGGTCATTTTACTTTCCTGGGACTCTAAGGAACATTTTCCAGTTATTTGCTAAGGGTTAACTTTTAGGTCCTGCTAGCCGGATTTCCACCCCCTATAAATCAGGGTCTGCCGGCCACACCCCACCACTCAATTTGTCTGTCAGTATCCATTTAGTATACCCGAGGCCATGCTGGAGGACCCCCAATAGGTTTCTAAGGGTTCCCCTAAAAAGTCCTGCTAGCTGGATTTGAGGGGTCTATGTTTTGGACCCCCCTGACCACACCCACCACTGGAAATACGGCAGACTGCCATTTTCATACATAGGTAACCATGTAGGTCATTGCCAGGTACAAGAAAATTGGTGATCTTTCCGGGCATGCTCAACCCTCTGGGATCCCGCTCTAAATATGGTGTTTTACCACTGTGCTTTGAACACCTACATCCCTAGCAAAATTACTCAATCTGGAGAAGCATTTTGGGCCTGAATGTTATTCACCTTTGATTGCCTCTGAGCACACCTGACAAGAAACAGCAAAAGCAGGCAAAACTGACAGATTAAGAACAGTCTATTCTGGACAAGGAAAATATGTCTACTTATCACTGACTATAGAACACCTCAAGATAGAAATTCCAAGTGCATTCTAGGAATGATTACTGTGCGGAGATGTGGGGGAGGAAGGCTATTGCATCAGAACCTTTTTTTATTATAAAATGTATGGTAATGAAATATTGAAGTAGAATTTCTTGGCTTATGAATATCTCTTTACTTATTCACAAACTGAATCCTTATCTTCGGTGGAGGATGCTTTATTAAATCAAATTCATTTCAAATTTGGTAAGAAAATATACATCAGGCTTAAATCTGGCTAGACTAATTACTCAAGATCTTTTCCTTTCTTGGTGCATAACTTTTTACCGCCATGTCAACTCGTCATAATTATGTCCTTTATGGATGTTTAATCGATGGTCTGGAAGCAATTTTAACGAGTAAAATATAGCATCAACCTCTTGTCCTAATAACAATCATTAGCTATCTACAGACTGGCATATTTGTGGCAAGGAGAAGAGATGTAAGATTCAACAGATAACGTTAACAAGAATATGGCAGGGTAGATGATAACATGATATATGATATGTAAACAACTGAAGCGTAGCTAAATTAACCCCAACTAATGTCTATAGTTGACATTTTTTTTACATGTCTCAATTAGGGAATTAGATTTATGAAAAAATTGCCATTCACTGATGACTTCATCAGGGTAACAGTCAAACTTGAATTAAAAAGGAGGGACGTTATATTGACAGCATTTAATAGCACTAAACAAGCATGAAATTGCTTAGGAGTAAATCCCCCAAAATAATGTCAGCGGCAGAGAAAGTATGAAACGAGCATCACTGAAATCCACATGAAATGAACATCCCTGTAATCAACATGAAATGAACCAGTCTCCTATTTTTGGCGGCTGGTAGCGCGAGCTCTGCCAGCCTGACCGCAAAAGCTCGGGGCAATGCGAGCATTTTTGGCACAACTAAAGAACAAAGTGCTTTTCACCTATCCTTCACACATGACTCTACTGTTAAAGAACCATCTTCAAAAGATACGATCCTTCTAGTGATATAGCCATATCTGTCCCCTGTATTTTGGAAGTAGAGAGAGAAAGCTAACCGGTCGAGCTCAAAGGAAACCAATGTAAACAACACGCCATAAAGCATACCGCAGCAAGATGGCGGAGCGGCAAGGGGCGAACGGGGGGAAAAGTTTCCAACTAAGTTTTCCGGTCTATATGAGGACGACTTACCTTGCCCTTCCCTGTACGCTAGAGCGAAGGCTAGGAGGAGTAGAATCCACCTCATGTTGGCAAATTAATCCAAAAGCGTCCACCTGAAATCGACATCATGTAGTAGGATAATCAACAGTGTAGTTCATAACTGTAGTTTAGCAGTACTGAGCGATACAAAGGCTGTTCCCGTTTACACCCTGGGGAGGTAAAGAGGGCAAAATCCGAGGTTAAACAAATAATTGATAAAAATCAGTCCAAATTACCACGTAGCATTATCATTTCAATACATTACTGTACACGACGAATAGTTCTAGTAAGGCTGTCAGTTTAAATGTGATTAATAGCATGGCGGTGGGTGAAATTGGCATTTTCCGTGCACGCACAGGGCGGAAAGCATATTGGCGGAACAGCTGTAATAATTATTTGAATAAGACATGAACAATTATACTAATAGTAGCGCGTCAAATGAAAAAGCATTGTGTAACGATTTCAACGGGTGATTGGGCGGTAATTGATTTCTTTATGTCACGGGGAATAAAAGCGGATCAACAACAGCAAATAAAACGGGGAGAAATTCAGATCGAATGTGAGCGTTCACCGTGCCTAACCCTCGATTTAAATGGGTGTCGATTTCATGTTATTTTCCCTTTCTGACACGTGGTTAGGTGCCTTTCACGTGCTCTGACCTTTCATCTGTCGCTCGATTGCACTCTGCGCCGAAGTTAACTTGTCAATAAAAGGTAATCACAAGTGGCGATTGTGTTTTCTGGTGAGGAGGTTGCAGGAAAGGTGGAACAACAAAACTGAGTTTTTACAGCCGGTATTATTGTGATACGGCAGAAGACGGTTTCATCCAGGGATCAGACGCACATACATATAAGGTCTCACATGGCCCTATTATTTTACGTGTTTTTTCGCCGAGTTAAATAACCCAAGTCTGATAAAAATCCAAACTTGCACTGAGGCAGAAATCTTTATAAAGACATCACGGAAGAGCCTTAATGGCAAATGAACGCATAACAGACGCGTCGAGCCTGTGCAGTAATATACACACTACATGAGCTATCCAGGCGCGGGAAGAAACTAAAACCAAATCAAATGTGTTCTTTTAAGATTCCTTTTCACTGATAAAAAATTATCTGTTTTCTGTTTAGAATATTTCAAACTTAGTTTATAATTATCATGATCCACAGAAGAATTTGAGCCCACTTTTTAAAGTAATTACAAGGGGGCGCACGCACGCGTGCGCATAGACATCCTTATTTTCCCACATCTCTAAAAGAAAATTCGCAAGATTGACATTTTTATGATCAACGTTTGAGCAACAGTGTGAACCTTAGGCTCTGTTCTCACAACTTTTAGATCGATCTATCACCGCGGGGAGTCTCACTAGATTACTGTCAGATAATCCCCCTTAAGTGTCCGTCCCCGCCTACTACAAGCTTTAAGGGGTAATTAACTTTCGTGTCCGCCCGGCTGCCAGCTATTTAGCGTGAACCCCCAGGGAGTTAGGTCGATCCAATGTAGGTCGATCTAATCTATGAGAATGGGGTGTTAGACTTGGAAATGTATTTTATCTGGACGCACTGGACGCAGTATCAAGAGAGACATGTTGAATAACTGGTTCTCCTCCCCCCCCCTCTCCCTACCAAAAATAAATTCTCACGACCATTTTTAAGATTATCATTTGTTTTTATTTCACGACAGAAAGGGGTATATATGTTAAGTTAAAAGACTTGTTGGTGAGGAATGATAAGCAAACTTGCTTTGCAGCCTGTGCGTACGATGTCCGGTCCAATGCATTACCTCATGCAGATTTTTCCTGTGGCTTCAAGCAGATTATATCATGTTTTTGTGTTTAAAAAACCTTCGCCTGTTTGGTAGATGTAATATCAGCCATTTCCTGAAATCGATCTGCGATTCAAATTTTGGGGTGGGGTTGATTCGGGACAAGCGCGCATCCCAGAACCAGAAGCCATGGCGACGATGTTCATGAGATACGAAGTTGTTTCAGGAGTCGAGACAGTTGTCCTCGGTCGTTGGAAATAAAGCTGCCACCGTGATCTGACAACGACACTCGAGATCAGAGAGAACGTCGGCACTTTGATCTCTAGAGTATACAGCACCGATCCATATATCGACGAAAATAAAATGTATTTCGATTCTTTTCTCAGGCGAAATTGAAAAACGAGCCACTTTGACATGGGCAATGCGGTAAGTGGAATATAAAGACGTAATTAAATGGCATCTTAACATCTATAGCAGGAAAATCTTGCCGTCACTTTCTGCCAAAAACTTTTGTTTTTATTAACAACGACTTCATAATTTCCCAATATTTTATAGTTGATAAATTGATAAATAGCATAGAAAACAAGTTAAATTTTAAATGAAGGAATGGAGGAACTAACGAGGAAACAAACATATTAATTATTTATTTATTTTCATTTTTATTAATTCATTTTAGGGGGACACAAGATCATTTCCAACATCTTGTCGAGGCCAACATTCCTTCAGGCTTCTACATAGAAATCCTTCACATACGTTGCCCATCAATAAACGGCTCATCAGTGTCTCGTCTCGGCGTTCCCTGACTTAATTAAGACATCATCGCCATACATCAAGCGTCTGGCAGGTCATTAACAAAGCCACACGATCTCAGACAATGTCTAATATTAACCGTTAACGGAATCAGGGTCTTAATCTGACATTAGTTGATCACTTTGCTTGCTCGTTTAGTCGGCTAACCAAGCAAACTGACCAATACCGTCTTGAAGACAAAGCCGTTACCGACTGTTAAGTGAATGAACTTAGTGTGAATCGGCGGCAATTTCGACGAATTTATTACTTTATCTGTACCATACCCATCAAAACTTAGACCTGTTGAATAAGAGATATGCAATACGGTGTTTATTTGATATCGTAATTGGATTAAGGCGTTAGCCTACTCTATTTGATAACGTAACTGGGTTAAGGAATTAGTCTCCGCTGAGCTCTAAGAGTGTGTTTTTATTTATTTCATTCTTTTTTCTATCTTGTTCATTCATTAATCTCAACATCTAACTTGTTGAATACCGGACACATAACACGATATACTTCATCACTGGTGGTCGACGTAAACGTTTTAACAGGTCTTAATTCAGCCCACAAAAGCTACGTCACCTATTCATCAAATTTCACCAACATGCCATTACGATATATTGCAAAAAATACAATGTGAGATAAATAATACACCAGCTCTAAATGAAACTGCAGTTAAATAATGCAAAACCCGTTTAATGACTAAGTATTAATTACTGTAAAACTCGTTAAATGAAGCCAAACTTTAATTGCCTTACCGTATCTGTTGATTAATTTATCTCCTAGAGCCAGCCGAAGAGGAATGACTGCATACTTCGATGTGCGAGGATGAAATTACTAAAAAATTGGGTTTCCACGAAGGGGCACGTGCTTCTCTCTAGTGACAACTAAATAAATGTGACACTCCTGTCAGTCAACCGACAGGCACTTCGATTCGTGACTTGATGCAAACGCCGTGCTGTGAATTTTGATGATAAAATGCGCAACGATTAAGCTCCCGTGTGTATAAGCTTGTATTTTAGTACAATCTAATACCCGTGTAAGGGCAGGAGTCCATTTGAATGTGAAAATTAATAATCGTCTTTCGGTTTAAACGTCGGTTGAAATGTGACCAAACACGTCTGGTTCGTTGACACTTGAGGCGATAAATCCTTGAAATATTGCAATGAATCGGGCGTTATCCAACTTGCTCAATTTCCTACGCATTCAGTGCCGATGATATCAAGGCACGATGTAGCAGTAAGTGGTAAAAGCACGACTTCTTACGAAACAAACATCGACTACTCTATTGCGTTAGCAAAAATCCCCTGCTCGATTCTGCAAATATCGAAAGTATTGCGACACTTTCAACGGCTGTTAAAATTCCATCGCACGAATCTGCATAAGGTATTAAATATAAACCAAGCTGCCAGCGTTACTTTTTAGCAGAGGTCTTATTCACGACGACGATGCCAGCGGCTCTTTTAGTAAATCTGTCCATAATGATCCACCTCAAACGGCACGGAGAGAGTGTTTAGTGAGGTTCGATGGAAGCTCGTGCGTGAATAAACAGACTGACAATTCTGTGTTGTAAGCCGATACACTGAACGCTCTCTAATGCAAACACAATCGCTTCCTTAAACTCTATCTCGAGGTAAAACAACACAGAGGCACTCAATATGCTATTAGGAGAACTGAGTAAACACTTTTAGGTTCACTCCATTGAGCTCCATTTAGAGTCTCGGCTTGGACCGATTTGCTTGCTATCGAGAAATCGAGAATCTATTGCCGATGGGTTTTTGATGCGATGAGAAAATAATACCCCCCCCCCCCCCCCATCCACAAAATTAGTGATAAGTTAAACACTAATGATATAAGTTATGGAGTAGATCAAATTCAAATATGACTGATGTTTGTGAGTGTGGGTAAGTGTGTGTGTGTAAATGCGTGTTAGAGAGAGAAAAAAAGAGAGAGAGAGGGGAGTTTTTTAATAGAGCTATAAAAACACTACAAACATTTGCTAGAAACGAGTCTGCAGCTACCACGATTGTGCTAGAGGTGACAGGCGGCACAATTAGTGGAAAGAAAACACAATCACATCAAGGCACTATACTTGTACACGAGGGCTATACTTGTACAAGAGAGGAAGATATATTTTCAAGCATTATTTTTTTTAAATTAAAAATATAAATATTTCTAAATTAAACCAAAAACTTAGAAAAAGGTTCTCCGTTTACAACTACGGCTCAGATTTCTAATGCACCCTATTTTCGCTTTTCAATCAATGTTCTAAAATGTAGTCTTCACAAAGAATTGGAATGGACTTTTTTTTACAGCAAGCACCACCCACCCACCCACCTCCACATCAAATACGTGTAATGCATTCCGGTTAAGTATGATGACCTTTTCCATTTTTACTCTGAATTTAGTTTTCCTAATTTTCCCTATGTATGGGGAAGGATGGGCATTGTTTCTTAATATGGATACGCGGGGAACGATGCGCATAAAGAATCGCACAGAGAATTACCTCCTGTCTTCTTTTACAAAAATTATGTCATTAAATGATTTTTAGAAATTGTAACATGTTGCAGTTTTTTTCAATTTGCAATCCTCCCTGTCTATTGTTTTATTATTTTGTGTACCAGATTCTAGCCGCTTAAGGACATGGTATTGCGTACTTTCTTTTATTCTTTCATAGGCTATAGAAAATGTCGACTGCAAAGGCTAACCAAAAGGTAAAAGCAAGCAAGTCATTGGTAGACAATATAAAAACTAATTTTCGTGCTTCTGTAGATATATATGAAACTACAATTTCCCGTCCACTCAAAATACTACGTATTTTTCTTAACTAGGAGGATGGACCTGATTGTTAGCCGCTGCAATTTCGTTATAACGTCAACACAACAGACAATGAAACCCCTATTTGACTGAAGTACTCGTTCATGTATTTTAAAGAAATATTTAAAATGTTCTCTTTGCGATTCAACGGGTAAAACACTAACTATAAGGCAGACTTCATTTTTAAACAGTTAATCATATGTAACAGTATGACACATGTAAACTGTTGTTAATATTAATGACTTTACTCCCTGTGTGTGTGTGTGTGTGTGTGTGTGTGTGTGTGTGTGTGTGTGTGTTGGGGGGGGGGTGCGTTACGTAATGAGAACAATAATTACAACAAAACATATTTCCCACATTTACAGGTAAGCTTAATGCTGAAATATCGTATGAATGGACAGCTTAACCGATGCATCATTAAACGAGCCTACTGGACTATTCAATAAAAAATTCAATTATCAAAAATTATGTTATGTTGAGTTAGAAACCAATTGACGATGGGTTCAATAGGAAAATATCGACAAAAGTAGTCGGTAGCGTGGCCGAGCGGTCTAAGGCGCTGGTTTTAGGCACCAGTCTCAATGAGGCGTGGGTTCGAATCCCACCGCTGCCACCATTTTTTTTATTGTCTTCACCTTTGGCATGTTATTAATCGAAATAGCAAAATAGTCAATTATGAAACCGACGCATACATCTCGTCGGGAATTATGTCTGATCGAAATTTCAAGATGTTATTCTGCATTGAAATCACACAGATCGCGCCATTCGTGAGTCATTCGACTAGCATATTGGAGTGAGTCATCACTTTGAGCGGCTGGGCGCGTACATTAGTTTAGCTGTGTGGTGCAATCAATTAAATTGCGGTTTAAGAGAATGTATCACATCTGTCGCAATCAGATCTCAACCACTACAGAAGACTGAATAACAGTAGCCATAAATTCACAATTCAAGTGCAAGTCGGATGGTACATCTAAATTATAGTCCAATTCAGATTAAAGGGATAATAACTCTTCGTTTTGGCCAAAAAAGAATTTTCCTGGAGTAAACAACAATTTTCCCATACTTACCATTGGTTAATGTATCTATTTCTACATTCAAAGTTAGTCCCTGTTTTCTTTTTTCTAAAAAGTTTGGGTTTTTTTTGTTAAAATCTCTTAAGAGATTATAACAGAGTATAGCCATCAATTGAGGTCACGTGGTCTGAAGACAAGCTCAGATATCAGAACAACAGCTATAACTGCCTTTTTTGTGGTAAAACAGAATATATTATATTTCTATGAGTTGTTTACAATGTTTTTATTGTGAAATATAGATCTCATACGAAGAGTAATTATCCCTTTAAACACTTACGAAAACTATGTTTTATCACAAAGTGGATATCAAAAATGATACACTTATTAATTTCCAAAATGTCAGTTTCCTCTCCATCCAATAATATTTAGTTACAACATGTTACTCAAACGTCGGCGACACATTTGACACTGTTAAGCAGTTTTTAAAATTGAAAAAGCAAAAAATAGGGCAAACTCGTTGTCGACCTCCTTCCGTCGTGAACATGACACAAGGCTTCTTCCCTTTCACATTTTCATACAAACCCTTGTGTAATAGATAGCATTCAGAAGACCTGTTTCAAAAGTGGCTTTCGCCCGAAAAAAATGCTCTAAACTTTCAGACCAAAGTTAAACTCGATGTACTCTCACCCAAAGCTGCTGGCGTTCAATCAAATGAGATATTTCGTCGTTTTATGAAAAAATAAAAAATAAATAAATAAACGGTACTTTTGCTACTACAAAACAATAGTTTACTTACTACAACATATTCGCCTTGTGCAGAATTATACCCCCCCCCCAAAAAAAAAAAAAAAAAATTAAGTCAGTATCGTTGTGCGTGTTATATATATATGGCCGATTACAACGCGAGATCATCTTAGATGTAGTCTGTCAATCGAGTATGCGACATAAATTCTTACATATCGAAAATATCTGCATCGTGAATTTAGTGAGTTTATTCTTAATATATTAATGATTAATTTATTTAATGCTCAATTCGAAACGTTCAGTCAACACATTGAATTTTAAAAAGTGCCTTTTTCGTGGGTTGGGGGAATTGATAAAAACGACCCCTCTCCAGGAAATCCTGGATCCGCCCCAATATATAAGGTATCCCTTCACTAACATCAAGAGGTGTTGGGTTCTTACATCTACAGCTGATATATTTATGTAAGATGGCCGATTCTAGGGGCTCTAATCCGACTCGGGATAGTCTAGGTATCGGCTTGAGTTATGGAGAAAAAGTTGCATGTACGCAACACAGCATTTTTATTTCCAAACCCAAAAATCAATTTTATTACATGGATATTGCCTAGTTTTATGGAAGAAATGTACGTGACAAATGGTCAAATTTAAAATTAAGTGAGAAGGGGCAATTGAAAAGAATTTCGACTGATAATTAAACAAGCCGCATGCATAGGCATTAATCTCCATTAAAATTAATTTGCAAGTCTGGCGATTTTTTTTCCATCTGTACACGCCTTCTGCTTTTTTTTTTTTTTTTTTTTAATAAAAAGAATAATTAGAGAATATAGTTTTATTCAACTATTATCTACAGTAAAATTCAATTTCAAAAGTTCTTTAGTAATCATCAATAAATCATGTAAACGTAATGAATCAATAAATCGTATTTCCCGATGCCCTCGGGCCGTGGGGAAAAACCCGTCTAAACCCTTCGTGGGGAATGCCGGGAAAATGCCCACGCCCGGATGCTTCTGTCTTGAAACAGTTTTTTATTGGCCCGGCGCTTTACAGTTCATAAATATTGTCCCGTTTTAGACAGCATGGTGTAACTGAATAAAGTTTTGCTCGTGCTACAAACTATTCTCTGTATACATTAGACTGGTACACAAAATGAAGTACAAGAATTTACCAAAGTACATGTAATTCCTACTGAAAGAGGTACTGAAGACAAAACATTTACTAGAGTCGTAACACAAACTGAGGCTTATTTTGAGTTCATCTAGTGGGATGAAGTCATAAATAAAGTACCTCGATCGTTTTACAACTGAAAGCATACACCAAAACTTGGATGTAGTTCTCCCTCGTAATAAATATATAAGAGTTCAGGTAATGTTATTATTACCCAGACGCCTTAATGATTGATTTCTCAAATGTAATTTTGCCCTGAAATCGCAACTAGCTATGTGATACAAGAAAAGCAAGCTTGCTATGACACATTTCATATTTCACATTACACTGTATGACCGTCCATGCCAATTTCAATATGAATTCTTGTGTCCGGAGAAAAAAGGTGCATATATGATGAATTGGAAATGTTTGTCAACTATAACACTTGAGAAAATCATAATATATTAGTAATATTAGTAATGCGCGGGTTACTCGAGGTTAGTGTGCGGCTTATGATCTTCTCAAACGCTATACTGACGAACAACTCCACATCATCAAAAGCACAAATTTGAAAAATGACTACATCACTAAGATTGAAATAAAACACAGACGACCATAAGTGGTGGTACTACAAGTACCAATGATTTTGTTTGCATCTATATGCATTTAGAATGTGGAAATAGCAACTGGATATTCCATTTTAAATTTTAATAACTGTATATAGAAGCAGATTAATTTTTTCACACTGAACCACAATATATCCCATTCAATTGGACATTTATGGAATTATGAATGATCATACTGAACATCAGTTTTCTCCTAAGCTATTGGAATAAAATGTTTCACTCTCTTAAAACAATTACACCCGACTCATATCTGTGACCCATGATGCGCAAAGATTTTCAATATATAAAAGACTTCAGTACATTATTAGATTGCATTCCTCTTACATTCAGAGTATCGCTCTTAATTAAGTACCGTTCCACATTCTCTAAAATATTTTTTGCAGACAGGCTGTGTCCTTAAAAACCGAGACTGCTAGAACTTCCGATCATCAATGGAAGTGGCAACAGGGGCTCGTTTCACATCTTTGGCATATGGGCTAGGGTTGAAGGTATCTGCATTCGGGCATTATATGTGGAAAACTGCCCTTTCGTAGCCTACAAATGAATTGTAACGTGTTCACACAAAAAGTAGGAAAAGTAATTGAAAGCTTGCAGCAATTGCAACAAAGAACATCTATGCCACTGGTATTTACATACCGTTAACTCTAGTATTTTGATGTTTCATAATGCTTTGGTTCTTAATATGAATATTTCTTTTTTTATTTTATTTTATTTCTATAACACAACATAAGAAAACCACATTATGATTTAGGAGAGTGCTAAGGTTCTACAAAGAGAAAGTAAATAGAAAATAAGAGGGATAAAGGAAGGAACATAAATCACAAAAACACCTAATGATCTGAACAATATAAACAGATGAAAATACATGCTCACCGTCACGGTCTCTTAGTACCACAGCCGCAGTACTGAGGGTGAGGTTGGGGGTAGTAGCTCCTAGTATTCTAGACCAGTGACAACGCCATGTGTGTCATTGATGGAGATCTGAAAGTTGGTCGATAGGATGTGAAAATATTTTGCATTTTTTATTTATTATTATTATTATTATATTTTTTTATTTTGCAAGTTTCTGACAAATTAAAAAAAGTTTTTACCACTATAATGAGTTTCTCGCATGTGAGTTTGCGACAAATTGAAAGAGCTTTTGGTTTTTAAAATGACTGCTATATGAACTTCCTTCAGTAAATTGTAAATAGAAAATAAAAATGTCAACAATTTCTTCACGTTCTGATTTAAAACAATTCTGTCTAAGGCGTTGCACAAATTTTCCAGTTTCTTGAATTTGCATTGACAAAAGATTTGTAATATGCATAGAATAAATGACAATTAAGTTCATTGTTCATCCTCTACCCTGGCCCATAACTTACCTTAAAGGGTACCAAGATCCAATGGTATCACAACTAGGCAAGGACTCTTATAAATCCCATTTGCTGATGTCGTTTTCTCCATTTTAAACTTATGAAAGAGGACCACCACCAGGCCAGGCGCTCACCAATGCTATCTCCCTCAACTATAAAACAAATTTGGAAGACATTAGTTTCCCTGGTTTGTTTTCTATCAATCTGACTCGAGTTCAACATTTTAAGGTACGAACAAAAGTGAACTGTTGTGTAGTTCGTTTATTTTCCATAAACAGTGTGTTTAAAGCGGTCTGCAGCATAAGCAGTTCACTTAAATAGTAATTAGCTTCATTAGAAGAACGGAATTACAATCATTTGATACTATTAATTACTCTGAACTGCTCCATTTTAATCATTTTGGTCTAAAATTAAAGAGCAACTTTGAATAAACTTTAATGGGACCCCATATCAGCGATCTTAATGAGTAGGAATGAGTACCTGTGCCATGATGACTTCACCAAACTGTGAGAAATAAGTCTTCAAGTCATCGTCTGTGCTCTTCTAAGGCAAACCCAGCACTATTAGGTCACAGCTCTTCTTGCTTTGTTTTCACGTTGCGATTTTCCAGGGTCTCATCTTTTCTTTTCTCTAAAACGGTAACACTTTCCAATTACTAACCATATTTTTAATAATAATAATAATATAAAATGCAATCCAGTGCAGTTTTTTAAAGATTTGTATTCGGACCATTAAATCATGACTCAGACCAGTAGTTTTTGAGAAAGTTGAGGTCCGAATGGCCAATAAGATGAAAAGTTTAGGGAAAAGACAGCAACTGAAAAAATTAATTTCCTCTATTTCTCTCCAAAATAACACGGATTACTTTTAGGGTTTTCCATCTCAGTTAAACACCACATACCTTGGACGCTCCTCCATTGCACCCACCTCGTAGGGGGACCATGGCGGGACTCGCTGGACGCTCCTCCAATGCAGCCACCTCGTAGACGGACCAAGCCGAGACTCGCTGGACGCTCCTCCAATGCAGCCACCTCGTAGACGGACCAAGCCGAGGCTCGCTGGACGCTCCTCCAATGCAGCCACCTCGTAGACGGACCATGGCGGGATTCGCTGGACGCTCCTCCAATGCAGCCACCTCGTAGACGGACCATGGCGGGATTCGCTGGACGCTCCTCCAA